TAGCGGAAGGGGAAAGGGACAGTGGGGAGAGAGACAGTTGAGATGGAAAGGAAGTTGGCATCCTCTGTCCTGTCCGATGGGTCCAGTAAGAAGGGAACCAGCTGTGGTTGTGGAAGATAGGACCCTGGTCCCAAGCAGTGCCTTTCTGGGGCCCAGGGACAAGGGCTACTCAGAATTGGGTGCAGGCCATTCTCCGCCCCACCTCTTCCCCAACCCCCCTTGCCACAGGGACCGCAGGGCAGATTTGGTTTCCTGAAGGGTCTGGCCATTTCACCAGCAGACAGATGCAATGCACAGTGGGTCCACAGCATCAGGAAAGATGCTGTCAGCGGAGGGTGTTGGGGGCAACCAAATACGGCCAGAGTAGGAGACATAAGCAGACCGGTGCTTAAACACATGAGAAATACCAGCCTCCCTCTCTTGGACTCTCAGAGGTAACTGGAGGAGATTTTGAGGGCAGATGGCTCAAAGCTATTATAACGTGAACATTGATGTTAATATCACCTTATTTACACCTATAGGCCAGGGACATTTTGGTTACAGAATGAATGATCAGTGACACAAGGCAGGTTTCACTCGTTCATTCAGTAAACAAATATTTATTGAGCCTGTGTATGCCGTGCACTGTGCTAGATGCTGGGCATACGACGGTTTACAAAACAGAGATGATCTCTGCCCCCAAGGGAGCGTACAGTCTAACAGTCATACAAATCGGTCTAGTGCCACCACCTGTGTATGTGCCATTCAGGAAAAACACCACAACCACAGGATGGTCTAATGGGCAGGATTATTTTAGATTAAGGGTCAGGGAAGGGCAATTTGAAAAAGCGACACATAAACTGAGACCTGGAGACGCACAGGAGTTAGCCAGGTGAACAGCAGGGGGTACGCCTTCCAGGTGGAGGGAACAGCAGGTGCGAAGGATTTGGGGACACATCCTTGGCCATCTAGAGGCTGAGACAAGGCCAGTGGGGCAGGGGCATGAAAGCAAGGAGGGGAGAGGCACAAGAGTAGGCTGGAGAGGGAGGCAGGGGCCAGGCCTCAGATGGCCACATAGGACTTTGAATTTAAATCTAAATGCAACGGGCAGGTGAGTGACGCAATCAGAGTTATGTTTTATGAAGATCGCTCTGGTGTCTGTGGAGAATGGAGTGGGCGCAAGAGGGCATGCAGAAAGAAAAGTCTTCTAAGGGAGAGATGCTTCTGGCACGGCATCAGTGATGGAGGGGAGTGGAGGAACCTGAGAAGTATTTAAAAGATATGTCGAGATGATGTTTTTGTCATGCCCTTGCCTTGGTATAGATAGGTTGAAGTGTTGAGTTCAGGCAAGACATATAGCAAATATTTTGAGCATGGCGATGTGACTCCCAGGTGGCCTGTTTTGGTTTGGGTTAGCTGAGAACTAATAATGTCACACAGGTCATTCCCCTGTCTCCCAGAAGGAACACCCCTGACGGGAATCAATTTTATGTTTAAAGGTTTCCTGAGAAAGCTTTCACAATCTCTTTGGTAACCTGTGCTCATGTTTAAAATAATTAGTTAGGAAATCTGAACGCCTCTCGCCCTGAAGCTTCTTGATTCTTGACAGAGTTGAAGATGCTAAAATAATAAGTCACTTGGGCCATCAAACATGAATGCTGTCATAATGACAGTTCTGGATTATGTCTGTCTGTCCCACAGCTAAAGTGACTTATTTGTTAGCAACAAAGAAAGATGCCTGAAGAGCCCTAGAAAAGGGATCCAATTAGATTTTTGTCGCTATCTTGCTCACCGCCAATTTCGTTGCTTTTCCTTCTCAGAGTGTGGTCCGGGGACCCGGGAACATACTTCAGAGCTTGGTAGTAACACTGCTGAGGACCTGCATTGAATCAGGACCTGCATTTTAACACACTCTCCAGGCAATTCAGAGGCACATTTATTCTGAGAAGCACCCTAAGGCCATCTAAAAGTAGGTGGACTGTGGCAGGTGCCAGATATTTGAAATGCAGCGAGCCTCAGCAAGTGGTTAGGGAAACCAAACTGGTCCAACAGGAACTGGATTTTTCTCTGGAAGTTCCCAGCTCCCAAGTCACACAGGGCATTTCAGCAGAATTCAGAGACGATATGCCGCTTCCTGGTTGTGTGGCTGGTGAGAGGCGCTGGGTGGATGGGCCCCTGGTGCTGACACGCTGTCAAGTGCAAAGGGCTCCCCAGGGGCTCCCCAGGCAGCACCAGAGGCCAAGGCGGTTGACCTCCCCTCCCCCGCCCCGCGTGACCGGTTTGGTCCTTGTCCTCTCAGTTTTGTCCCTAAGGGCCCCATTCTCTAGGTGGTTACGGTGACTCTTACTTCCTTCTGAACCGAGCCGCGTGATGAGAAGGCTGTTTTTGCACCTCAACTAAACGTACTCCCACGATGGCCTCTGGTGGAATAAGAGGTTCAGTTCCAGGGGCTTGGAAAGTTCTGTCTCCACCGTGTGGTCAGCCTCTGCAGGCCAGCGCCCCCTGCCCCCAACTGGTGGGCGTGTGACACAGACACCAGGCACAGCCTGGCGAAACAACGGCCCTTCTTTTATTATGCCTTTCTTGAGAAATGGTTTAAGGCCCGAAATCCAGGCCAGAGCCCAATCATTTCACTCCGTCCTCACTGGGGCCGCTCCTCTCACCTAATCAGACAAACGGACGAGGTTCGTGGGCTGTTTAAAGCATACGGTTTGTAAATACTGTAAAATCAAACGTTCCTCTGGGCTTTTATTTACCGTAACATGTTCATATTACCTAGCACCGAAATAGCTTATTCAGTCGCCCGTGCCTTTGTTCTCTTGCCTCTGGCCCTCCGGTGACTTTGCCCCCTGCCTTCTGCGGCGTTCATCTCTCTGCTCTAATTCCTCCTCCCCGCCTGCCTTCATCCCTCCTCCTGGCGCCTTGTCTGCCCGCCGACTCCAGCGTCTTCCTCGCTTGTCCCACTTAACCTCTTGCTCCCTCTCCCTCCCTCCATGCCTCTCACGCTGTCCCTCCGCCTTTTGAAATGTCTCCGCTACCTTTTCCTTCCCGTGCTTTTCATTTTCGGAGGCCGTGAGACGCGTGCCTTGCGCTCTCCTGCCCCTGCTCCTCTCGGGCTGTTTTCTCTTCCCTCCCAAGACCCACCACAGAGTCCCTTCTTTCCCCCCCCCCTCCCCGTTTTTCTCCAAAGGCGACGTAGGGATCAGAGAATCGTAGAATTCAGAGTCAAAGGGACACAGCCTACGGTGGCTCTGACAGTTACTCCTGAGTCACAAACTCTTTCTTCTCACATCGCCTTCGATAATGGCTGCCCCGGCCCTCCTTAGAGCAGGAAGGGCTGGGGAAGACGGAAGGGACAGGTCCCCACCTAGCCCACCAGGGCTCCCTCACTAATACTTGCACCTCAACGCTTTATGTCTTAGCGCATGCGCGCGTGCACACACTCACACTCACACACATGCACTCCTACTAAGCGTCTTCGGTGCACGCATGTGTGCTCCCAGTCTCCCCTAAAACACTGATGTCCCTTCTCCCAGCCAGGCCAATCTGTACTTCACACCCTGGGGTGAGCACTAGGAAATGATTCTATTTTGAGGTGCTGGAGAGAGACAGTGGGGATCCTCTCCCCAGGGGCAGCTCTCGGTGCGGGGAAGGTGCCGGCAGGCATGCAAAGGGCAGGGGAAAAGGAAGCTCATCTGGAAGTCAGCTCCCACCCAGGGTCCTGGTCAATCAACCAACCAACCAACCAATCAGCCAATCGCTAGTCAATGCTCTTGTGTGGGGGGGGGGCTTCTCTCTGTGTCACGGGGGGCAAGGCATCTTCAAAATGCGGAGAACCAAGAGGGAAAGCAGAGCCCTGGAGAGACCCCTTGTAACACAGAACAATGGCTCTAACACCCACCGTTCCCAGCCAGAATCTGGGATGCTGCTATCTTGGCTACTGGGGACACAGAGGTTACACCCAAGTAAGCCCCTTGGGAGATTTGTGAAAAATTCCTCCATTTCCCAGAGCTTGGCTCCTCAGGGCGTCTGTTTCTCCATGTCAGTTACGAGGAAGAGGGTTAGCTGAGGACCTGCATGTGAGGGAGAATAAGGCCTTGGCTGAGCACCAACCAGGAGGCCGGCCCCGCCCAGGCCTCCAGACGCCTGTGCTCCAGTCCTGCCCTCACACCCTAACCGCTCCAGCTCAGGCTTGTGCGGCCGCACCCCGATTCTCCGTCCGGCAGTCCTCACCCTTGGAGAACAGGAGGGAAGCTGCTCTGCAAACCTCCCAGGTGAGTGGGCTTGCAGGTAAGCAGAACGTGCCCCACCAAGTTCCAACCCCACCCTGCTGCTTAGCGTCCGACGCCAGGTGTAGATCTCTGCTGAGCTACTCAGTGAAAATTCTCAAGATAAGGAGGAAGCGGTGCCATCGTAAGGGCAGGAAGAATTTGAGTTTCACGTCCTTGTCCCTACCACCCGCACACCTGCTGAGGGGAGTAGAAAAACAAGTATGAATATAACCCTCTATCTGAGTTCCTTTCATATCAGCTAATTAACCAACTAAATTGCCAATAAATTACTATTATAAATGTGTGTATACATAGGCATATATATGTGTACATGTGTGTACACACACGTATGTAGATGTAGTTCCAGCTTTTCTTCCTTGCTCCCTCTCTGTAGGCAGCTTCAGACAAAAGCCTCTGACCCCTCCGGAAGGGCTTCATCGGATCATGGGTGCCACATAGTTGGCGGGGAAGAGGCCGAGTTTGTTGTGCAGGCGGCCAGTCCACCAGGACGGGTTGGAGCTGTCCAGGACCTCGAGCACCTCTCCACAGTGGAATCCCAGCTCGTCATCCTCGAGGGCCTCGAAGTCGTACAGCGCCCGGGCCCACCGCACGCGCTGTTGGGGAAAAGCACAGGGGTGTCCTGCTGAGCCGGTGGCCAGCCTCCGGAGCCACCGTCACACAGAAGAGGTTCTGCTGGCTTCGGCATCAAGACAAAGTCCTCCGTCAGCAGCTTGCCCCGAAGGCTGACATATGGCTTTCCAGAGACATTTCAAACCCCATTGTAACTGAAAGTAGATACCGGAGGCACAGCCCTGAGCGCGAAGGTACCAGAACCCAGCAGCCACTCACGAGACTCGGGACCTTTGGCTGAGAGAGATGTTATTCTCCAAGGCCCCAAGAGAATCCCTGAGAACCAGTCTCCCTACTTCAACAGATAGTCTTTTTATTTTCTTCAGCTGACACACAGAATGGCAGCGTGCCCAAACTAGCAGCCCTTGGTGCGAGTGCAACCAAGTCCAGATGGATCTCAGCGATGAAGGCCATAGATCTCCCTCCGCTAAAAACAGAGCCAAGACATATGAGAAGGACTGGGCGAGGCCGATGGCCAAACCAAGAACAACAGATCGGATGGTGCCAGGCTGGGGTCAGCTCCACCCCGGAACTCTTCCCGACCACTGTCATGGGCTGGGTCCCCACCACCTCTAATTGAGCCCCGTGCAGTTCGACGTCTCTCCTGGAGGACCAACTCTTTCTCTAACTGCCCATCTTGCCCACTTCACTGAGCCCAGAGAGGGAACATTCACGTACCCCGGCCACCTGGAGTTGCACTGGGTCTGTGTGCCTCCGGTGCATGAGGGCGGCGTTCACTTCACCACCCATGCCCACGCCACAGTGCCCGTCGTTGATGTCCAGGCTGCCTCCACGGCGTTCCTGGAAACAGAGGCAACAGAAGACCCGTCACCACGCTGCCAGAAGCATCCCTCACAGGCTCCCCTAGTGCCCGGCTCAGATGCCATGGACATAGCCAGTGTTCCGAGAATACTTTCTGTTGATGACAATAAATCCTAGATGAGGGGAGGGATGACAAAGAGACCTTAGATTCTGAAGGCGAAGATGATAGCAGGTTTCATCTATTCAATCGAGAAGTATCTATCAGGCACCTACCATGTGTCCAGCACTTTGCAAAGCACTGGGGATATGTAGCTGGAAAGAGAAGGCCCCTGTCTTCATGGCGTGTCAGTTGAAAGGGTAAACCATGCACATTTAAGTGATAGGTGAACAAAGAGAAGAGTGTCCAAGTCTGAGTAATCGGGGAAGGCTTCATAGAGGAAGTGATGTTTGAACTTTAGCTTAAAGGGGGCGTAGGATCAGCCAGGAAAGGGCATTTCAGGTGGAGGCGACAGCAGATAAAAAGCCTCAAAGGCATGAGAGAAAACACAGTGGACCATTCTGGTAACGAACAGCGTGCAGCGTTGCCAGGATGGGTGTTTTGTGCGGGGAGCAGGGGCAGGTAGCAGGAGGCGAGGCTGGGGAAACGGATATTGAGCAGCTCACAAAGGACTCTGTATGCCCCGCTAAGAAATTCAGGAATGATGTTATCGGGCTGTATTGTCCATCTCGGTAAGCCGCCTAAAATCCCATCTGGAACAAGGCAGGGGACAAATAAAAATAAATAAATAAATAAACAAACAAATAGGCAAGGCTCCCTTGCAGGTGTTAATCTTTTTTTTTTTTCTTTTTTTGTAGATCTGGACAGCCAGGTGGGGTAAGGAGCGTGACTAGATTTGAAATTGTGCCGATAGGAAAATGAAGCAATTGTTCACCACGTCCTCAGGGTAAGAATGTGTGTGCGTGTGCGTGTGCGTGTGCGTGTGCGTGTGCGTGTGTGTGTGTGTGTGTGTGTTTTCAGGCAGGAGCCATTGGTTTTAGGCTTCTTTGCCTAAACAGTTTCCATATCATATTTCCGCCATTTGGGGGCCCCGAACTTAGTGAGACGTGTCGACGCTGGGCGGGGCCTGGGATGTTGCTCTCCCTGCCAGCAGGGCCTCGTTCACAATAGACCCCCAGCGTTTATTTTCTACGGTTGTTTCCAGCATTGTGAGGAGTTTTCGCAACTAAGTGGCAGTGGATGCAAGTGGCCTGAGCCTCAGGGGAGAGAAGGACCTCCTCCCCACCTCCCTGTGCCCTGCTTCATTCTTTCTAGATACCTGATGACAATG